ACCCTAAACCCTCAACCCTAACCGGCCTAACCCTCAAGGGGTAAGCATCTCGAGCCCCCACCTGGAATCTGACCACAACACAATCCACACCCCCTGACGCGCACTAGACATACGGTTGGTGATATAAACCCTGCATTACCCATGATACGGATAATACCATAATTCCCATAGTTTAGGGTCCTTAAGGTCATGCAGGATTTATATCATCAACCGTATCTCTACCTAAACCCCGCAAAGTAGGTAAAAAAAGCATCGTCCAAGACCTTTAGAGGGCTGCTATTCTACATGCTTTTGGGGTCCAGGTAATCTCCATTGCAGCTCCTTTCTACGTTTACCAAATTTACACTTAGGATCACATAAGGGCCCGTTTCTTATACAAATGAGGCGCTGTAGGGTGTTGAAACTCACGGCAAACCTAGACCCTAATCCGTTCACTGCCCCTTCATTTTGTTTCAAACGCCTGGCCAAGTCTGCTGGACAGCACAGCTGCCGGTAGCTTTTTAATTAATTAGTTACCCTCGGGCTCCAATTTCCTAAAGAATAAGTTAATACAGTCATATACAGCAATAAGACACATAAATAGATGGCAATAAGACACATAAATAAACGACACATAAACCCATGTAGATGTAAAACACAAATATATAGCCTGTAACACAGCAGCCCAGGATTTAGGCGACTGGAGCCCGGGGGGGCTGGGAACTCCTACTTCAAACTGCCCGGAACCCGCCACCCGCGCTTGCGCTACCGGGACAAATTCAAGGTATGTTCCTTAATCAAGTGATACTGGAAGGTCTGGATAGTTATGCGACGTTGCCTAAAGGACACTTCAGGAAGTTGGAACAAGGGTTAAGGCATACCTGTGGCCGAAGAAACCTAGGGTTCCATGTTATGGCCTATGTGCGAAACCCAAGCGGCAGGTTGTACGGGCCACAGGTAGGGTTTAAGGTTTGATCAGCCAGGGCGTCGTCTACACTCCAGCCGACGAAGGGCATGGGCACAGTGATGCTCCAACTTTCTTCAATGCCCAAAGGGTCGTAAGTACCTACAAAGTTTGGTTCCCGTATAGGATTTCTTAGGGGATGCGGGTTCTTATGAGGGATACTTGCCCAAACCAGAACAATCACTCCTATAATAGAAACCCTACTTGGTACGATGTAGCCCTGCGCTGTACACCGACCGCTTTGCGTGTAAAGCAGGAACCGCATGACACAGCTGATGTAGACTGAAGCTCCTGACGGCTTGGCTGATAGAAACTTGAAACAACCCTCGAGGAGGGTAGAAGCGCTACTTCTTGAAACACGGGATATCAAGGGACGGCCTCTGGTGCAAACCCCTACAGGACCTGCTTCCAGAGCCAACCCCAGGCATCCCGAGGGTAAGTCAAAATACTGACCTGAGAGACTGAGAGAGTCCAAGATTTCGCAGGTACGCTAATTTCTATTAATAGTAATATTACTGTTAATATTAATACTACTAATAAAATATATTTTTTCTGGGTGTTCTTTTCAAGGAGACATTGGAATCTCTGGGAGACGCAGGCTGGACATCGCTCTAGCGTGCCTTAGTCAACCTCGAAAGACCAGGGATCGTCGTTCGCTTCGGTGGGGGCATCCTGGAGCTTCACGATTTTGAACTTCCAGTCCGTGGCTGTGGCAGGATAGTCCTCTTTTGTGTGTGCGGATGTTTAGGGTTTAGGGTTCAGGGATGTGTGTGTCGATGGCCATCTTGCCGGAGGAATTAAACGTAGAGTTTGGCTCTAAATGCTATGAAGCCACCTACCTGCAACCAGGGTTTGGAGTTCAAGGACCCCTAACTTAAGCCCCAATCCCGTTAAATCCGAAGCCCCTCAAACCTGAACCCTTTCAGCCATCAACTCCCTCGACTCGAATCTCGAAGGTTGAGTCCTAGATCTGTGGCAGTCTTCAGAAGCCTCAAGGCTAAACCCCCACAAAGCCAGAAGCTTTGGGTTTTAGTCTCGTTTCTAAGGGGTGTATAGGGCTTGATGTTTTAGGAATTGGAGTGCAGAAGATGAGGGTCTAGGGCCGAGGGTGTACGGAATCGAACCCTACCTAGAGACCCGTACCCTACCCCCCCATTTGTTTTAGGGTACCTAGTTTTATAGTTAGGATCTGTTATATAGAAAAGTAGATAGCCTTAAAACCTACAGGTATGATCCCTCAATGTGTCCTGCTGGTTCACCGGGTCGCTGCTGTCAACAACCAGATCGGTCATGCGGACGAACCGGTTGAAGTACGTGCTGTGCAAGGCAATCTCCCCATTGCTGAGTCAGGCAGCGGATGAGCTACGGTTCAGGGTTTACCTGGACCCTATACATCTAGAAAACCTACCTTTTTTAGGGTTCCTTATCATGGGTCCTTTATCGTATCGGAGTCCTTGAAAAGGTTGCTTGTTTGGGGTTGATTACCCTCTGGAAGCTTTAGGCACGAAGTAAGACCTATATGTGTATACATATCTGCATACATGTATGTATATGTATATATATATAGACAGATAGATAGATAGATAGATAGATCGATAGATAGATAGATAGATAGATGGATGGATAGATAGATAGATAGATAGAAAGATAGAAAAATAGATATGTATGTATGTATGTATGTATGTATATAGATATGTATGTGTGTATGTATATGTATGTGTATATATATATGGCACAAAACCCCTTCTTAAACCACGAACTCGAAGCGCTAGGATCTTGCAGACACCGATCAAGCCAAGAGTCGTCAGGTACCTCGCCACCTAAGCCGATTTGGTGTTCCGTTAGGGTTATATTATTGTATGTCTTACTATGTTTTGTTCTACTGTATTCTATTTCTGGAATACCATATCATATCGTACCATATTCTAGTAGGGTATATTATATTAATGCAGGAATGAACCCAAAACCAAACATGTAAAACATATCTACTACTGAACAACCTCGCCGCGAAAGTCTCCCAGGTCCACTCCTTGGGGAGATCACTGGCGGCTTTGTGCATGCTGGCGTCCATGTCCGCATGGTTCATCCGCACCTTCCGCGACGAGCCCTCCCCTGAAACCAGGAATACCATTTACCAGTGAATACATAACCTGGTTTATTCCTCAGTTGACGTGCACTGGGGTCTCTGCGCACGCCCGAAGAACCAGGAATATGAGGACAAGCTCTGCCTGCTAGAGTATGTACGCCTTGGAATGCGATGCAGTAACACTGACAAAGGAACCATAGCTACTGTTGATGATATATACCCTGCATGACCTTCATTAAGTTAGGACCCTAAACTATAGGAATTATGGTATATTCCTTTTCATGGCTAATGCAGGATTTATATCATCAACCGTACTTAATTACAGCAATTCGCACCCTGGCCCTCGACCTTTTATCTCCCTGCAAACAAACGGCAAATCGGTTGTGGTAAGCGCTGTGGAGGGCGATCTGTCCATTCCCGGCATCGACAACGGTGAAGCGCTCCCATGACCAGCCCCATGGCATCTGGTCCTCGTGCAACACGGTTTGGGTTCTAGTGGGGTGCTTAGGGTTATTGCTCACGCTGGGACCCACCTCCTTAACCTTAACTTGTGTACTCTATGAGGGTACAGTTTCAGGCCAAAGAGATACGTCCTATACCCCTAATCCCCTTAAAACCCTAAGGCTCAACCATGATGCCCTTAACCTAAGCCCTGAACCCTGAAGTCTGAACCCTAGAACGCTAGAACCCAGAACCCGGTCCCCTGAGGGGAAGGCCAGAAAGTTGTTAGGGGCATGGGCATCATGATGTTCCAACTGTCTGGCATCTACTTTCCCTAGGGCTCCAAGTATGCAAATAGTACCGACTTTGGGGTCTAAAGTCTAGAAATAGTACCTACTTTGGGCTATTTGGAGCCCCAGGGTTTAGGTTGACTCACTGAGGGGACGGCCGCCGCTTTGTGATCGCTAGAGTCCATGTCGGCCTCGGAGGCACCGGAGACTCCAAGATAAGTGGCCAGGAGTTTCGGGGGCTTCGGGGTTCAGGCTTTAGGGGCTTTAGGGGGTTTAGGGGTTTAGGGGTTTAGGGTTTAGGGATTTAGGGGTTTAGGGGTTTAGGGGTTTAGGAGTTTGGGGTTTTGCGTTTAGCGGTTGTAGGGGCCGTTGTAGGGGTCGTATAGGATTCAGGACTGTTTAGACGTTTAGGGATGTCTAAGTTTTAGATGTTTAGGCCGTAACAGAGATTGTTCGTAGGAGGTTGATACGGGGTCGATACGGGGGACTTGCAAAGCGGTACGTGGCGAATAAAGGGTGTAGAAGTGGTCTACAAAGGTTTGCAGAGTTCAAGCATGAAGAATCCCCTACAGTAAACGTGGAACACTGCCTCTTGTTCTGCAAACACATAAACAAACACCATAACAAACAAATAACAAACGTTCATTTACTCAGCAATATTCTTCTGCTCTTAACTCTTTATCTTACACAACAAACCACTGAACACTGAACAAAGGAGCGTATAATTTATAAGGGACGGGGCCCTAGCGGCCGAAAAGCCCTAAAATCCCAAACCCGAAACCGTGGACCCTGAACCCTAAACCCCAAACCTTAAAAACCCCAACTCTAACCCTAACCCTCAACCCCGATCTCTAAGAGGTTGGGGCCTTGTCGTTCATGCGGAGAAAACGGTTCCATCGAGCGCAGTGCAGGGCCACTACAGAGCCCGGCTCCAGGAAAGGCTTCACCTGCTTGAGGATTGTAGGGTTGTTTTTTAGGGTTTAGCTATCACAGTTATGGTATATGGGTAAACTTTACAGCAGTTACTAGCATATTCCCAGTTATCGGTAAATGGGTCTAGGGTTTAAGTTTAGGGTTTAGAAAAACTTTAACGAATACCATTACCACTGTAATTGGTGTTGCCAGTCTTATTGCTGTCGTTCTAGTTAAGATTGTGATGATTGCTTTGATGCTTTCTGTCTTGTTTCGGAAGCTGAGTTTAATGGTTTAGGGTGTAAATGGCGGGAGAGGATCTCAAGCTGCTATGAACTCGGGAACGCCTTTCTCTCCTTCTTTCAGACACTCTGTTTGTCTGTCTGTCTGTCTGTCTGTCTGCCTGCCTGCCTGGCTGGCTGGCTGGCTGGCTGGCTAGCTGTCTGTCTGTCTGTCTCTGTCTATCTCTGTCTGTCTCTGTNNCTCTCTCACTCGCTCGCTCGCTCTCTCTCGCTCTCTCTCTCTCTCTCTCTCTCTGTCTAAATATACATATCTATACCTATGTCTATATCTATACACATATCTATATCGGTATATGTACTTAGACTTATGTTTGTATCTACATCTATACATATCTATATCTGTATATGTACTTTGTTTGTCTCTACATCTGCATCTATATATATTCTGTATATTTGGACCATATATGTAAATATACCTGTATGTAAACTATGTGTAAATATGTGTCATCTAAATATGTCACTATGTATGTATATGTATGCATGTACACAAACATATGTACATACATACGTACATACATGCATACCTCATTACGTGCATACATACATGCCTACATACATACATGCATGCATACATACTTACATACATACAGGCATACATACATCCATGCATGCATGCATGCATGCATGCATGCATGCATGCATATATGTACATATATATATATACACACACACACGCTCTCTCTCTCTCTCTATATATATATGCGTGTGTGACATGATTGCACCCTATACGATTTTGTCCTGAAGATCCAAATCCGCACTTTTTCAAGGCTTGAAAAGCAACCCACGGGCTTCTGAGCTGCATGCCTGCAGCACACGGAAGCGCTCAAAGATCATCGCAGCCGGCAGGTCTGATGCATCCTTCGTGATGCTGCTGAAGGCCACTCCCTGGTCGGACACCGCGACGAAGCCTCCATGCACATGCCCAAAGGGTGCTTTGTACCTAAATAGTAGAACGTAGCGTTTCTACATTAGGAAGTACTATTCTGATTTAGGGAAGCATCTCCCCAGAACAGTATGCTGGATCCTTCGGGATGGCATGCTGGGAGGATATGCAGTATAAACTTCACCATAATTACAAACCCTGAGGGTCAAAGGACCTAGGAGCTTAGATGCCAAATACTAACTATCCAAAGTTACGATTACCGTAGATTCGAGAACCCAACCACGCGGTACATGGACCCTGGCACTCATAGCTCCCCAACAGGAATTCTCTCTAGAGGCCCCACCGAAACCGCTGAGCTGCAACCCTCATACAAACCCAAACTAGTTGGAACCTACACACAACGCCAATCACCTACATCGCAGCGAACTCTACAGCGCTGCCTGCCAACAGGAACCCCGAAACCTAACGATGTCCAAACAACCCGCCCGTGTGCAGATGTGTGTGTGTGTATGTATGTATGTATGTATGTATGTATGTATGTATGTATGTATGTATGTGTATATATATATATATGTTTTGCCATTATGCATGACCGAGAGTTCAGTATACGCATGCCTGTACATGACCCAACCCTTGAGTATATGAAGTACCAATCCCGAAGGGTCCATGTGCCCAAATGATGTGTATATATATATATATATACATATGCTATTCATGTATGTATACACGGACCCTCGGGAATGCTTACAAGTCATGCTAGCCTGCACATGTACATGTCGGTACGTATGAATGCATGCACGAAATTATGTATTTAGCTACGTATAACGTGCGGAGGCGCACATGCCCGTGCGTTCAAGCAGACTCATAAAGAAATACATATAACCTAAATCCTGAACAGTGCCATGAAGCGATTGTGGACACGATTGTGCAAGGCGATCGTTCCATTTCCGCCGTAGACCACAGTGAATCGTTCCCAACTCCATTCGGGGAGGAGGTCAGCTGCAGCCTGGGTGGAGAGTTTCGAGTCCAGGAGCAGATATATGAACAAGCAAATACACATTTGATTAAACACATTTATGTATGTGTATATATATAATATACATGAATATATACATTTATATGTATGTATACATATATATATATATATGTATGAGAACATCTCTGTATGTATGTGTAAAGATGTGTGTATATATATATACATGTTTACATACGCATGTATGTGCGTTTGCATCTCTATGTGTACATACAAGCAGACATATTTATAAATATCGATTCAGATACACGCAGATATGCATACAGATAGATTTATACTGTACGGTTTGCGGCTCAGCTTCAGTGTATTCGGTCTGGGGTTGGGTTTAAGGATTTGTGTTTGGGGGTTGGGCATCTTTGTTGGAGGATTGCGGAAACGTAGTAGCCGGACGCACATGTCCGTATTCCGTCTCCACGATACAGTTCCCAGGAATGTAACCCTACCTTTCGCATCACTCATCCGAAGATTCTACTAACGCCACGAGCACTGACAGAAGAAGATTGCGGACAATCTTGGCACATCTACTCTTAGGAACTCCATTTTGTCTTCAACCCAAGGCCCTATAAACTTCCAACCGATGGACCCCATAGAACCCTTATAGAACCCTGATAGAACTCTGACAGGAACCCCCACATTTTTCAGGCTGCGCTACCTTCAAATCGCTGGCATCCATCCCTTCCTTGTTCATCCGGACGAAACGGTTGTGGAAGGTGTTGTGAAGAGCGATCTCCCCGTTCCCTGCATCGACCACGGTGAAGCGCTCCCAGGTCCACTCCTTGGGCTCCATCCAGGAGCACAGCGAAGCTACTAAGAAAGCTTCTTCCCCCATATGGTTACCTCAACTAACTTCTTCGGCCAGACATACACAACACCATGACGCACACATGTATAGTAGCTTTCACCGCGGCATTGTTCAAATAAAAGAGGAACATCAGCCGAAGGCCGAACCCAAGGACTTAACCCTAAGCCCTATAACAAGCATGAAACGACAACTCGAAACTAAACCCAAAGTCTGCGCCCAAAGCCCTACCTACCCTAAACCCCTGAACCCCTGACATAGGGCAAACCCCCCCATTAACAGGGAGGTTTACAGGGCGAAGCTATCAGTATCGATAGATTCTGGCACCCCCAGGATTGGTAGTGGCAGTGACTTAGGCCCCAATATTCCCACGGTTTAGGGTTTAGAGTTCAGGGTTTAGGGTTTTCGGGTTTAGGGTTTAGGGTCCTAGATGCGACTATGGGGTGGGTATTTTCCAAAATCATACTAGCGATTCTTGGCATAGAAACCCTACATTCTACTCTGTAGGTGCAGGGACCCTTCAGCTCTAAACCCTTTAAGGCCCTTAACCCTACCCATAGGCTCCATGGTAGTTCCTTTTTGGGGCTACCTTATAGGGATCCTAAGTAGAAACCCAAAAAGGAACTACTATGGAGCCTATGGATAAACCCTAAACCCTATATACTTACCCTAAACCCTAAACCCTATAAGCCCTATATAAAACCCTAAACTCTATATAATTACCCTAAACCCTAAACCCTACCGACAGAGCCTCCGAGGCTCGAAAGGGAAATCGTCTCGGGGGTCTGAGGCATCCATGTCGCTGTGCGAGTTCATGCGCAGGAAGCGGCCTTATAGCAAAGGGTTTAGGGTTTAGGATTGAGAGTTTGGGGCCTTGGGGTTTAGGATTTAGGATTTAGGGTCTAGGGCCTCGTATCATAGGTTCAGGATAGGGTTTGGAGTTTAGGGGTCCCAGGTTTAGGATTGGGGGGTGACAAGGTTTCGGGGTCTGGAGGTTTAAGAGTTTAGGGCTTAAGGGAGCATTCAGGCTTCAGGGTTTGGAGTCTATACCCTAAACCCTAAACCCTAAACCCTATAGGGTCCAGGATCAGCACTTTCAGCCATTTCTGCCATGGAAAAGGGCAAGTCCTGCTTGAAGCTCTAAGACTTTCGGGCTCTCAAGGGCTTCGTCGCAACCCACCCCCTCTTAGTCTCAGGATGCCAAAATCTCTGAGACCCTAATCCCTAAGACCCTCTAATCCCCAAACACTATAATCCCTAAACCCTACAATCCCTAAACCCTAATTACGCACTAATCCCTAAAGCCTAGTCCCTAAACATCCCTAAACCCACAAGGCCGCGGCGGTGAGTATCCCCCTTCAGGGCAATCGTGGAACCCGGAGCGAGGCCGGGAGGTGGAACCTCGGCGGGGGGAGTCACAAGACTTCGATGGGGGGGTAGTTGAGATCCCTCCGGGAGCACAGAAACACTTAGATTCTACTGTTGATGATATGAATCCTGCACTTAAGGACCCTAAACTATGGGAATTATGGTATAGTCCTTAGTATGGGTCATGCAGGATTTAGATTTAGAAAATCAGCCGTAGGAATGAGGGTTTCCGGTGTAGGAATCGGCGTGTATCGCTGAGGAAACAGGGTTTCTGGTTGAGGGTTTAGAACTCTTGAATGATGTCACAGCCAAACCTTCTAAATGCGGACTCAAACCCTACCCGAAATCTGTAGCTCCAGCTCCAAACCCTACCCTAAACCCCAAACTGCCCCAAACTCTGAACCCTAAAACCCTCACCCCCAGACCCTGGGAGTTCAGGCCTGGAACACGCACACACGCTTTATCCATGCTTCAAAGGGCTTAGAGCTCACGTCACTGCACGGGAAAATCAAGGATGCAAGGTAAGCACAAGTTTCTGCGTTCGACATGCGGGTAGTTCTCGAAATCAGGGTCCCTGTCAGGGTCCTTTTTATAAGACTGCCAAACTACTTTGGTGGCCTAAAAGGGGCCCTAATTTAGAGAACTGGCAATGTGCCTATCCTTCCCCTGGGCATCCAAATAGCACAAAGTAGGTACTATTTATACACTTTAGACCCCAAAGTCGGTACTATTTGCATACTTGGAGCCCTAGGGTTCTGCCTATCCGAACTCCAAAACCTGAACCACTGGATGGTCAACCGAAAGCCTCATCCCTGCACAAAAGCTGCACACGAAATCCCAAACCCTGAACCTTAAACCCTGAACCCCTAACCCTAAACCCTACACCCTGAACCCCCAACCCTAGTGCCTAAACCCTGAACTGTTGACCCCTAACCCTAAACTCTACACCCTGAACCCCTAACCCTAAACCCTAAACCCTGAACTGTTGAACCCCTAAACCCTAAGCCCTGAACCCTGACTGAACCCTAAACCCTAAACTCGAAATAAGACGAAGGGCCTTGCTGACCACCGAGCTGACATCTTTCTTCCCGAAGTCGCGCAAGGCGTCCAGGGCTTTTCTTTTGCCTTGGGTAGACTCGGCTAGGGTTTACCCAGACCCTCCTATAGATCCTTTAATCAACTAAGGAATATACCTAAAAAACATAGTAGGAGCCCGGATAAGGCTTAAGGTATATTCCGTAGTTGAAGGATTATGGAAGGTCTGGGTACACAATGGATCGGAGGGCTTACTACATTGGGTTACAAGCGAGGTAGCTACCATTATCCACGTGTAACCCCAACCGAAACACTTGTCATGCTACTTACGGGATACCTATAGTCTCCATTGTAGTTCGTTTTTTAGTTGAACCACTTTCCTAGCCAGGAGCCTAAAAGGTAACCCAAAGAGGAACTACAATGGAGACTATAGATAAGCAAAATCCCTAGACCCTAAATCCTACATCCAAGCAAAAGTCGGTCGGTGGGCTCGTCGTCACCCAAGGAGGCCCCCAAAAGGTGTCAGGAGGATGTCGGTGTTAGACACTCTGACTCAGCCCTCACCTTAAACCCCAAACCCTAACCCCGGAACCGTGCAGGGCTTGGAGGATTTCTGAAAACGGAGGGGCCCACAGGTGGGCAGGGGTCAAAGCGCTGAGTTGAACGAGGGCTTCGCACGGGCCCCATATGCACTCAACAAATAAATATAATCAATACCCTACAGCACAATGTATGTCTACTTGGGAGTTGCTGGATTCTGTTGCAGGGCTTTCTTGTCCGGTGTGATGAATGAGGGCAGCTCTTCTACGGAATGGTGTTAGGAATGGTGTGGGGTCCACGATGTCCTGAAAAGATCAGAGGACCTGGCAAGTACGGAGAAGGCTAAACAAAATGTGTCGGTAGCTGCTTGAAAACTGCAATACATTTTTTGTGCTAGCCATACAGCCTAAAGCCCAAACCTTAAACTACACCCTAAGTACACAATGACCACTCACAAACCACGAAGTCGGGTGTTGGGGTCATAGATTAAAGCACTACTAAACACTATCAGTGCCCAATGCATTTGTTCGAGTCCTGAACCAACCAAATTTTGCTGTTTTTGTCAACTTAGACCCTGCATACATGTATATTCTGGCATATTCTACTAAAAGTATCGGTAATTATTCAGGCACGGATATTATGAACACCTATGGCTGGTTCAGGCAAACCGCTGCTTTCGGACACGAAAGGCATGGCCGCAAGGACGATCTGGAACTGCTCCACGACGTTCACCAGCCGGATTCTCTTTGTAGGCGTCCCGAAAGGGCCAAACTGAATCTTCACCCCCAGATCCAAGTCATTGTCCTCATGCAGGATGTTAGGGAAACGGAAACAGAATAATTACTACGTCCACAATAAACAAGGTCATGAAGCCCCAACACGCCAACCGATGCGAACCCACTCTTCATTGCAGGCCCACCTAACCATACCTTAAGTCCTAAACCCCTTTCCCCTTCCCTTTCCCTCCCTGGCCACTCCTCTAGGAGTCCCTGGATGTCGAAGCTCACAATACCTTGGCTGTTTTCTGCTGCCTACTTACTGGATCGGGTGAGTCGACAAGTAAGTTCTTGCACCTTGATTGAACGGTGTCAGGAGTGTGCTTACTCATAAGCCAAAGTTGAAAAGGTCCTGAACGAAAGCATATCCATTCGGACGTCTGGTTCTCGGATTGGCCGAGCTGTTTGTAGCACACTAGACAAGGAGAGGGCTCTTCCTTCAAGTGCTGAACTATAGCTGTCGCAGAGTGCTTTCCTAGGTGTTAAAACGATATGCTTGCCTGTTTAAGGTGTTGTAGTTGTGGTTACCCTACAAACCCAACGATATAGCAACAGCAACAACACCATGGATAATCAACACAATGGTCATAAGAGTCACAACATTTCTTCGAGGCAGCCGAGATTCCTGGGTTCTTAAAGCTGAAGAGCTGGTAGTAATTCGCCTTCGTTGCCTTCGCCTCGCCCTGCATGGCGCTCAGGCCGATATGCTGCAAGACCTGTCAGGTTTCGGAGAATTTCTACGGAGATGCATTTGCTTGATATATATGTCACATGTACATATATGTCACATGTACATAGAAATGTAGGGCGCAGACAAATCAGCAGTGGGGGTGAGTGCCTTCTACTGTGCATATGGAGGGATGATAACCGGTGATAGCTGAACTTCAAAAACCTGCGATAGCCTAACTTTAAGTCAGCAACTTATTATGCTCTTGATAGAACGCCAAGTCTTTTCTACAGGTTATCTGAACATCCATAATCTCTTAGGGCTTAGGTAAGCTAGTGGTCCCTCGTGATTTCCTGCAACTCCCACGTGGGTTTAGGGTTTGGGTGTAGGCTTAGGGTTTAGGCATTTTAGGGCTTCAAGGGTCCAAAGTGTAGTGTGGCCTCCTTCCCCCGCAGCTCTGAATTCTTCGTGATGCCCATGTCCTCCCCATACTCGATGGAAGCCATGTACCTTCAGGCTTGTCAGGTTTTCCAAGACTGAGGATTTCAGCGATTTAGGGTTTGGGAGTGTCAGAGTTTGGGGGTTTTAGGTACGAGGCTTACAGTGTAGGATCTAGCGTGCAGGGCTTAGGATTGTAGGGATTAAGGTTTAGGGAATAAGGTTTTGGAGGTATCCGTTTAACTAGAACGTCTGAGACGGATAACAACCATGCTACAAGACACGATTGATTACAGGTTGGGTACTTAGGGTCACGGGCCCATTAATGTGCTGCAGATGATCTAGAAGCCTAGATAAGATAATTGGCTGAAGTTTTGAGGGCAGCTTGGCTGTGTTTATCATGAGGAGACTAATGGGAAATGCTTGCTACATACTTTTGCCCTATAGTATTGTCGCACTGGGTCGAATTAGGTGACCCTCTATAGCGCGCTTTGCCGGTGGCTTATTCAGGATTTGGCAAATTTTCGGAATGTCATCTGTAACGTGCCAAGAATTCGCGTGGATGTGTATTTCTTTGAGATCTTCCTTTCTTCTAATGGCTAACATGTGCTTATGTACTATGTAGCTACTTATGTAGTTACTACTCTGCCAGGATGGCGGGTCTGGGAAGCACACGGGGATCATACTATTGAGGCCGCCGGGAGATGGCTGCGGTGGGAGAGCCCTTCGGGCCCTTCAGCCAGTACAACATTCTCCTTCTAAAGCTTTCATTTCTCGCCCTGAGCATGCAGTAGGTAGGACCCTTGTTACAAGTTTCTTGAAATCCGGAGCCTTACTTCTGCGAGCCCCTGCTTGCATCGGGCTTAGGGTCCAGGTTCCCATCCAGATTTAGGGTTTAGGGTTTAGGGGTTTACGGTTTGGGGTTTTTGGGTTTTTACAGTTTGCTAGAAGGACCCCACTGAAACCCTTTCAACTAGTATCTGCAAGGTACAAATCCTCTGTGTCAGTGGCCCACTGCATCGAATGATGCGCATCCTCCTCAGAATCACTGGTCCGTTTCTCCTCCATCGCGACGTGTCTCTTAGCATCTCGGTCTTTAGGGTTTAGGGTTGTTTAAGGTTTAGGGAGGGTTACAGTCCCATAGTCTACGGTATCCCGTAAAACTTAAAACTCTTTTGGTCAATACCTCGCAGCCCGAAACTCTTGCTATTCGGAGCCTTAAGGTTGCACTGGACTTGGGATCTAGGGTGCACTGGACTCGGGATCTAGGGCTTTCAAGGCGTGTGGAGTAGGAGTGGCGGGTAGAGCAGTATCGAGCCTCGTTTGCCCAATAAGGGTACAGGTTGAAGGTGCAAGATTTAGGGCTTAGGGCTGCCCTAAACCCATAAACCGATTAGGGTTTTTTTGCGGCTTTGGGGGGGATTTGGGGGTTCAGGGCTTCGGCCTCCAGGTTTGGTGTTTCGGTTGCTGCAATGTCAGGTGGCTGTTCTCATACAGGTCGCGCCTCAAGGTTCCTACAGGTCCCTGCAGCTTTGGACTTCGAACAGCCTCTGGTCAGCTTGTGAAGCTACAAACCGAGAAATGCATCCATGTGGGCCCAACTCCAACGCCCTTCATCTCCAAAGATAGTTAGACGAAGCCCGATCCTGAGCTATGGCCTGACACAAAAGAAAAACCTAAAATCCACGCAAAGTGTAGAACAGGAGTCCCCTTCTCTCCAAACCCATCTTCCCTAAGCCCTAAACCCTCAACCAAAATCCCTCCGCCCCAAACCGCCCCGTACGCGGTTTTGACTCTTCTCACACCTCCCAAACCCCCACACCCGGAACCCAAAGCCCTATAGACCCTAAACCCCAAACAGCTGACCCCTAACCCCTAAACCCTAAACAGCTAACCCCAAAACCCTAAACCCCTAAACAGCTAACCCCTAAACCCTAAACAGCTAACCCCAAAACCCTAAACCCCTAAACAGCTAACCCCTAAACCCTAAACCTTGTAAACCCTACCCTGACCTCCGATAACCGAAGAATAAGTCGGTTCTTTTTTGATAACCCAGGTATATTCTATGATTGACGGTGGACCCCGTGTGCTTTGGGTAAAACCTAGGGTTTATCCGATGATGTATCAAGGATTGGTTAAATCTAAGAAATGTACACCTTGGTAAGACTTACTAAGTCTTCGGTATTGGTCTGAATATGGAACCAAACCTTGAACTCCTGCCGAAAGCTCCCAGGACAGCGCCGCAGCCGATGATGTTAGGAATTCTCAATCTGTATCATGGAATCTTCTGATAGCCGAGAGCCCTTCATCCCAAATATATAAAGTCACACCCATAAACCCTAAGCCCCTAAACCCAAAAGCCCTCGATCTGCCAGCGATGGGAGACTTTTGTCTCTTGCGAACGAGCCGATAGCTCAGCGCAAGTCCCGCCAACAGCCAGTGGCGTCAGTTGTGATTGTGAGCATTGTTAGCGCGAAATACCATTCCGGTTGAGGATTTCTTGTTCAAGCTGGGGATTGCTGCAGCTGTAGGGTTCGCTCAGGGCAATGGGGAAGAACGGGAAAAGGAGTAAGAAGGGGCAGCGGGCAGAGTTTGCTGGGGAAGCCTACGAGGCTGGTTTGAACATCGCAAATATCCATGTCAGCTGGGACTCTTGCGATGCCATTCGCAACAGATTACGTCAAGGGGGACCTGTTATGGATCCGGAATGTGGCCTTTATTGCGACAATAGAGCCTGCATTCTGAACTACTCCTTGCTACTGCCAATGGTCATCGCTATGCAGCATCAGGACAGGAAACTGCCCTCGGTCTATGACATCAGACATGAGGAGACAATTCTTTTGAGGATGAACAAGCGAATCGGCCCCGAAATCCAGGAGCAAGTTAGCATGGACAGCTTCCATATACGGAAGCTTTTGTCCCACATCAAGGCCAAGGTGCGACGCAAAGAAGTTTCTGCAGTGTTTCGGCAACGGGAATTCAATAGTATTCTGCCCCAAGTGAACTAACCATAACTAACTTTGAAGTTTTAAACCAACCTAAAAATAGCAATTTTTCAGAAGCATTCTGTTGGACTCCACATCCTAGGAGCCCCGCTTCCAAGAGCTTTGCTTGGCGATGGATCCAAGTTTGCAGGCCATTTCTTTTGTTCCGAGACCCTTAACCCCTAAACCCCGAAGCCCGAAACACCCCCTAAACCCTAAACCCCGAAGCCCGAAACCCCCAAAACCCGAAACCCGAAGCCATAAACCCATGAGGTATCAACTCGATCATCGGAGATAAAAAGATAAAAGACCAAATTATTTACGTAATATATGGTCCCCCATCCCGGCCCACAGGAGCTGGTGGATGCGTACAACGCCAGGCGCTGTGCGACTTTGGGGTCTTCCAAGGCGGATGATACTGAGCAGGCCCCGGTTTTGCCGCATGAAGGTTTCGTGGATAATTTATTGAACAATTTATGAGAATTCATCTCTAAACAAAGGGATCTTCGATATTTCAAGCCGGTTCTTTCACTAGCAGGTTTCATGATTCATGATTGTGATTGGCAGGCATCCGATGAGGATGACTACGACGAAGATGATGAAGAAGAAGCCGACGAGGGCGACGAGAATGAAGCGACGGAGTCGCCAGAAGCTTCGGTGCCAAAGCCAGAAACTCCAAAGCAAGCAACAGCAGCTGCGATGCCAAAGCCAGAAACTCCAAAGCCAGCAACAGAAGCTGCGATGCCAAAGCCGGAAACTCCCAAGCAAGCAACAGAAGCTGCTATGCCAAAGCCGGAAACTCCCAAGCAAGCAACAGAAGCTGCGATG